ATAGATAGATCTAATGATCTTTGGAATATCTTGAAAGTTTCAGCCGAAAAGAATGTTCCATTGTTGAACTATTGAGTTTCCAAATAAAGTCGGCTTTTGTGACAAGTGACAATTTTTTGGAAGTTTAATATCTCGACAGCAGAACATTTTTATCAGCTGAAATTCTCAGGATATTCTAAGGATCGTTAGATTTATTTTTGGAAAAAAATACAAGTTGAAAATTCAGTAAAATAGTTGTAGCTCAGCGTCAGAGATTCATGGACATGAACCCTTTTTGGATTTTTCTAGTTTTATCTGCATTTCCTTGTGAGTCTAATATCAGTTGAAACGACGAATTTTAATTGAAGTTATTTTTTCGTGTTATATAGTCCTGAACATGTCTAAGACAACGAACATGTTTTATTCAAAATATTTAGTTTCCAAAAGAAAAGTTGTTAGCGCAATACCTGCAGGATTAAAACCCATATTTCTACCTTAATATTTGAAAACTCCTTTTAGATCTTATTTCACAAGATTGCAGCTTGCTATAAGAGGACATGATAATCAAGTCTACTTGGAAACATAACATTTCGAGAAAGATATGTTCGTTTTCGTAGAAACTTTCAAGGCTATCTAATGACTCTTAAATCTGCCTATAAACTAAATTTCAGCTTTTCGTACTTGTCTTGTCTTCTTTTCCAGTAGACCATGGGTTCGAATTCAGTCAAGCTTTTCCTAGTCTAACGAGATCCAACAGTTGGATATGTTTTTGCATCAGCTATGCAAAATGAAACCATTCTCTCCTATATCCAGAATATTGAGTGATAAGCCTTTCATCTTCTTATATGATAGATTTCCTATGTAAATTCAAAAATTAAATTTTTACCTACATAAGAACTAATTGGTTGAATTATGATCCCAACAAATCTTCCTACCATTTTTATGATTAGGAAAGTAAATCGTTGCCGAGATTTCTAAAATAAATAGTTACAAACTTAAAAAAATTGAGAAAGTCTATGTAAACCTACAAGATTTAAATAATAAATTATAAAATATCTTAGAGGTATTCCAGCAATAAATGGAAAAGGTGAACGTCTTCTTCTTTTTCTTGGTATTATTGATATACTACAAACGTAAGCATGATTTTATATTCTATTCATCTTTTTTACTAACAATAATCATAATTTATATAGATTTGATATCTGTAAAGTAATGCAACGACAATATCAAACAGTTGAAAATCGTGATGTTATTAATGAACGTTCGATTGTTGAAGCAGATTTTTATGCAAAGCGTTTTAAAGAATTTCTATTTGAACGTGTTTTTCATCCAGATGATGATGAAATTCTAACAAATCCAATTAGCACATTAACATCTTCTCTTTATCAACAAACATCTAATGAACAAAATACATCTTTTAATTCTTCCATCTATCCACAATTACATTTTTCTTAATCCATAATTGTTCTGATTCGTAGAAAAAACAAAAAAAAAAAGAATTGATTACTAAAATGATCACATTGATCTTATATTGTTGAAATAAATAGTAGAGCGGAAGATACGAATATAAACACGAAAACAAAACAAGATACATAAAATATTATTTGATTTTTACGCAAAGACCAGAAATATGAGTTTTACTCATTAAATACATTCATATAAATAACAATCGTCGATTGAAGAATAAGAAAAAAAGAAAAAACGTTAAGGAAGAATGGCTCATAGTTGCTTTTTTTCTTCTTTGCTTATCTTAACAATACTGTTTATGTCAAAGACAACTAAAGGGAAAAAAGTGTCACTTGTTATTCACAACAACAGGGAGTAGATATTCAATACGACAATATTTATCAGCTCAACAAGAAAACAAACAATAAGAATTGAGAGAGAAATGATAATAGTTTTGTCCTTTTCTTTTTTTGTAAATGAATTTTTTTCTCTTTTTTTATTGCACACAACTAAAAAATATAATTTACAAGTTCGGGATACAAATTTTTGTACAATATGAATTTAATTAAAAATCCCTGTTTCTAACAAAGGAATGCTAATCAAATGGCAATATATATATGTATTGAAAATTTGATTTCTTCATTAAAATTGTGCTTCAATATGTGGTCGAGTATTATATTGAAGAGGAGTTGATGGAGATCGTACTAATGTTCGTTTACCTGGCATTTTGCTTAATGATTTACATAGCATCGCAAAATCAGGTCGATCATCTGGTACAAATGACCAACATTGATTAATTATATCCTATGAAAAAGAAAATAATAAAACATAAACATTTTTCATAGATATACATGTTGTTAAGACATGACAAAATAATAAACATGCTTATGGTATCTGATAAGGAAACAAATCCAATTGTTGGACATCATTCGACTTTAGATTATATATATGACTAGGCCTTTGTGATATAGTACTGCAACTCGCAGGTAGGGTACTGGTGTGAAAGTAACGACTTGTGGAGACACAAACTTCATTTGTAATAGTATAGTTCATCAAGAATTTAAAAATGTGTTTTTAATGCTGTTGTTTAATAGTGATATTTTTGATCAAATAGTTGACTGGTCATTCTGTTAAACTATCAACAATGTGTTACAGTAATGCAACCCACGGGTAGGGTACGGATACGAAAAGTTGTACTCGTGTAGTACTCTACTCTGCAAGATTAAGGAAAAACTTGAAAAGAGATTCAGGTCTATCATCTACTGATGAAGAGCTCTAGTCGCTTTAATGGTATCTTCATTGAGAGAGTAAGGCATCTCCGAAAAGTTGAAAACACAAAATTTTAGCCTGAAATTCTGTCTATAGTAGAGTTCTGCATTGGAGTCGAAAAATTAGACTCCACAGGATTCTAGTTTAGTAGCGCAACCAGAAGATCATGGGTAATCTGACGGCACTTCATGACCTTAAAGAAAATCCATTCAGTCTAGTGTCAATAATGAAAATAATTACGCTTTTCTTTCTTTCCTAGCCATATTTAATTATTCTCTTCAAAAGATTCAAATGATATTGTTCGTATAATTTTTTTCATTATGCAAGATATTTTGATGTAATCGAGAACTTCATTTATGATCATTCATATAGAAAGCTATCACATTATAATGATATGAAAAATTTAAATTTAACCACTCTGTCCGATTTCTGAATGAAAAAAAAAATGCATTGTCGAATTCATAGTTTGAATAGATATGTTACTAACAATAAGAATTCTTAATCTTATATGAATTTAATTAATTAGAAAATTTTATTTTTTGTTTATTAAAATTTCTTAATACTTACTTTTGCATATTTACTTATATGTACACTACTCAATGGTTGTTTGAGTGAATTTCCTGCTCTCCAAATAATATATTCTGGTGGTTGTTTAGCAAATGGAAATTCTCGAAATAAAAGTTCATACCAAACAGTACTATAAGAAAAAAATTAATCCTAAGAAATATTTCAAAAGTAAAATATCTTTTTTTTTTGTTTACCCAAATGCATAAACATCTGTTTGAGGTGTATGTTGTAAAAGTGTTTGTTCATTACGTGGATCAAGTTTACGTATGATTTCTGGTGCTAAATAACTAAGCCATCCACGTGGTGCAATAATAGCTGGTTGATTTGTTAATCGAAAACATTTACTTAATGGTACTAAACCATAATCAGTTAAAATAATACGATTATTTTGTACAAATATATTTGTTGTACGTAATGACATATGATTGATGGATTTTTCATGTAAATAACTCATTGCTTGAGCTATTTGAGCAGCATATTGTACAGCTGTATTAAGTGGAATTGAATCATTACGAATATGAATCATTTCAAATAGATTTGAACCACGAATCCAGCTAGAAATATTGTTTTTTTTGGTCTTAAAATATTTTTTTTAAAAAATAAACAAATAACATACTTTGAAACAATTGCAAGATTCGGACTTTCAACTAAATAAAATCTCATAATCACAAAACAAAAAAGTAAAACAAATTGAATACATACTACAAACACCTGTATATAAATTTAAATGCTCATGTCGAATTTTTCGCAATTGAAATACCTATAAAAAAAAAAATTTTTTTTTTGTTAAATATATATATTTATTCAATGTAAGAGATTTAAAATGTTAACAAACTTGATGTTTAAATTGATTAAGAAATTGAATTTCATCCATTTTTGAATCACGTTTTATTATTCGTACAGCTATTTCACCATGCCAATGAGCTCTAGAGAGAGAAAAAAACGCGACCAAAATATTATTTTTCAAATAAACCTCATTATTCTTACTTCATTAATGTTCCAGATGAACGTCGTACTTCTTCAATGATTTTAATGTTATTAAACGTAATAACCCAAGCTTGTAGTGAAGTCGCAAGCTAAAAATGATATTATTATTATATTTAGTAATAATTAACTGAAATCATTCACATGAGAAAATATGAAAAGAGTAGATTTCACGAATCATAAGTTTTTTTTTTCTTGACTAGGTCATGCATGATAAAGACGTTCAAAGATGAAGAAAGAAAAAAAAAATTTCAGTTGATTATTAATAGCCTTTGTTCTTTTTTTTTTCATTCTGAAACTCTTATTTACTAATGCATATAATAGTTTTCTTGGTTTCTTATTGTCAACGATCTACGATGTATTGTTATGTTCCGGCAGCAGTAGCTCAGCCGATCGGCTTACATCTCGGTTTGTCAAGCATGACTTACATTCGTATTTCGTTTATCTGGATCAGCTTCATCATCATCAAATGAATTAATATCAAAAAGTTTTGTTTTAACAAGATCTTCACGTCTAGGATGTGGTGGTTCACTCTAAGTTTAAAATTAATTTCTAATGAATATAGAAATTCTTTTTTTTTTTAAATAGTTACTTGTGATACTTGTCGTACTAGTTTACTATGTGTTGTCACGGTTGAATCTGTTAAACTTGTTCCTGTATCTGTTTGAATTGTTGAACTAAACATTAAATATTAAATAACAACAAAAATCATTGTATTAATTTACTTTGTATCACTATCTGAGTGAGATTCAGGAGCTTCTAAAAGCATAGAAACTTTTAAATAGAATTAATTCATAACAATTAAATACATAAAAAGCTAAATAATCGCATGCATGTATATTTTTTCGAAAAACATATAGACAACGTACAAAAAAAGAAATTTCATTTCCGACACCATATAATTTATATCATTATTATTAGTAGTAATATTACCTACCTGATGTATTTTTGTTAGTCGTCTCTATGACGACCCAACTATCTGGATCATTTTGAGCTAAAGGAAAAATAAGAATGTGTGCTGCAACATCAATGAAAACTCATTCTTAAATTCTAAATTTTAATTTTATTTGTAAACAAGCTTTTATTTTCATATTCAAGATGTAAAATAAGAATTATTCTGAAAACTTACTGGCATAAATTGATTCTTTAATATAAATAGATGGATTAAAATGATAACCAGACGTTGGAGGATGTGTTGCTGGTGATTCAGGTGCAGATATCGGTGTTGTTGCTGTTGGACTTGTACTATCCCACGCTTAAATTATTAAAAAACATTGTTATGTGGAATAAAAACGATAGATAGGTCAAATTCTTTGTTAGCTACTTGACTTTACAAAATTAGAACAAGTGTATCTCAGGATAATAACAACTCTTGAGACTACAAAATTTCTATACAAAGTTTTTTCTAGGTTTTTCAAAAAACAACTGATTTACTTTTCGTTAGGGACATAACAGAGTTCAAAAAAATGCTCTCTGAACCGAATCGGGAGTTTAAAATCAATTTCAAATAGCATAAACCTTTCTTCAGAATCTCTCAATGATGGTAAAATAAAACTTTTTGGTTGGTACCGTAGAGCCTCTTCTGAAGTTTTTCGGATTTTTTTCATCTATGGCTCGAGAGATGTTCACTAAATACTTTTTAATTAATAGTCCAATGAAAGAGTCAACATTCTTACATATGTTCATACTAAAGGAACTGACTTAGAAAAATAGCCTTTATAAAGAATCAAAGTTAAATGATAGATAATTATGTCCCATTTTGTCTAAAATGATTCAAATACTTACGTAGAAATGGATATTTACGTGGCAATGGACTGGAACTAGCTAGAAATTTAAACGAAATATTAAACAATAAATCAATAGATGTGTAAAATTTTACCAAGAGCATTTTGAATATCTGTATTGTCAATTGCTCGTCTCAATTTACCTTCCCTAAAACCACAATTAGCTGGAGCATGTTGTACACATTCTTTGTGACATTTGTATCTTGTAGAAAAAAACATAGTATAAAAATCCAAGTTCAAAAAGCAAACAAAAACTAAACACAGCAATCGAATCCAGTCAGGAAAAAAGAATCATGCTAGAATCTCTTTTTTTATATTGGCTGTTTTTTTTTTTGTAATTGCAAGGTGCATTCTCTAGTGCCTTACTTGCAATGAAGACATGCTTTTCCTCGAAACACCTGTCTCCTACAGACGTCGCAAAAGGAAAATTTGAAAACACGTGTTCTGTCAAACCTAGAAAACGAATATAAAAAACGAAAAGATTTTATTTTCGTTTGAATGTTTTTTTTTTTTTAATTTTTGCATTTAGAAGAGCGCATTTAAAGCAGAAAACAAAACGTTCGAAAGTTGATGGGAAGACCAAATAGTTTGTATATGAAATAAAAATGTTAAGATTCTTACTTGCAAACATTGCATTTGATACCGAGAAAGAAGATCTTTTTTGAGCACACATTACACGTTGATAATTTTATGAAATTACTCCACCTGAGAATAAGATAGAGAAAAAAAGAAATTGTCGTCGCTGTCATAGAGTTACAATCACATATGTGGAAACTACCAAACTGAACAACACCCAATTATAATAATAAAAAAAAAACGGTGACAACAATGAAGATCACGATGAACAGTTTGACCAATAAAGAAACAAATCAGCAAAAGAATTATGAAATAATATAAGTATTTTAAGAGTGATGAATGCAAAAGCGTCAGTGCAAGCAACATATAAAAAAAGAACTATTCAATACGAACTTATGTTGAATTTTATGTGCCATTCGATGTCTAAGAATAGGTGACGAAGTATTATATGTGAGTGCTTCTGAAAAAAAGAAAAACAAAATAATTAATTGAAAACGAAATATAAAATCTTTTATAAATTTACCTGGTGTTTTTGGATCATTTTCAGTATCACTATTTTGTGCTGAACCTAATGGTGAACTTGACATTGTTGGAGAACGAATTGTAGGTGATTTAGGTGTTGCTGAACCTATGCAAATCAAAAAAAGAAAAATAATGCATAATACTGTAAAATAAATATCTAACAAAAAAGAAATTCAATGTAGTCGATTAATCATTCATGAGCAAAAGCAATATATTTAGGTCAACCGTATCCGAGCGAGCAAATCCTATGTACTGCTAACCATCTTTTGAATTAGATTTAGGCCATAATTTTTTTCTTGCTATCAATGAAGGTTTATTTTCATCATTTTCATTGTATTGTTGATAAATATCCACATGTTGTCGTTTTTTGGTAGATGATGAATTAGAATGTGATGAGTTTGTATGAAATTTCATAGCAATTTTACGCATAGCCAATTGATGAGCATAACTATTTATTTCATTCTTATTACTGTGCTCAAATTCTATAGAAATAAAATAGAAATCATCGATTTTATGGATAAATATATATATTTAGTTAATGTTATATATCATATTCTATTGAAAGAAACATATATATATATGTATATACATACTCCTGGAAAAAAACAGTTGCATTTTGTATTTTAAATGTATCGCCATTATAAAAACACATGCAAAAGAAATGATTAAATATTGTGAAACTACTCGAAGTTTTATGTCATCCTGTATATATATATATATTTTTAAATTTATACGTCTGTACTAGTAAAATAAATCGAGTGTAATGAAAATGTTCTCATCACCAAATTTCCATGAATTTCAATCTATTAGGTTTTGAATCCTTGGCGGCAGACTTATCTTTCGAACAAATAGAGTAAAAATCTTTTGTCAACATAATATACTTTGAAAAATATTGGCAATTATAATTCTTGTATTTAGATTTGATTTAAATATGCAACGTCATCTATGCCAAAACACAGCAAATATTAAAAAGGTCTGGTTTACTATATTTCGGTTTTTGCCATCAAAGGGTTAATATTATGCATCGCTATAGAATTACCTTTTTTTCGAAAAAAAAAAAAGGTAAATATGCACTATGACAGGACTTCAAATTCTTTATCATCCTATAAATATTTACTTATTGTCTTATATTTATTTGCTGCAACAAATAAATGCAATTTAGCTACCAAACATGCAAGATAGTGGAGATTTTCGTGCTCTATCAAAATATGAAATTACTTGTCTTTTGCAACATCAATTTTATAGTCATGAAAAATTTCTGAAACTAATTTTGATCATTGTGCAATAATGAAGTCAGTAAGAATCTGGCATTTATAATGCTATTTATCACACTCGATTTATTTTAGTAGTGCATAATGCATAGTGGATAAAAACTACTAGTAGCCCGTATGGTATAATGTGTGCTATACAGACGGCAGTGTGAACAAACCTGCAACATGAGAAGTATAAACTAAAACATAAATACGAAAAGATCATAGAAAACTGCGAGTACTTTCAGAATATGTAATTATTTTTTTCCGGGAGTGTATATAAGTAATTAAATCAAGAATTAGATTTTCAATGATAGTGTTATGAAGTATATTGATATTGTCATGTGTATATTATATGTAAAATCTTTATTTGATCTTATGAATGAATATGAAATTGAATACCATGATGATTTTTTTGATAGCATAAGTATAGAAGATTTCTTGTTGAGTTATGTCTAATAGTACGAAATTTCTATTGTGCAATATAAAGAAGGTTTGAAATAATCTCTTATTTTTTATGCTTTGTTTTATTTCTTAATAAAATTCATAACTTACCAGAAGGTAAACGACTTTCTGAATCTGAACCATATGAACTTCGACGAGATGAATTACCCTCATTCGGTAATTGTAGATCTGTATTTCGAGATAGATTCGTATTACTTAATTTTAAAAAAGCAAAGATTAGTATTTAAATAAGAAAAAAAAACCCAAATAAAACAGTAGTATTATCTTACGTATTAAAAATCGATGGATCAACTGTACTTTTCTTACTTGGATGTTCACATCTGCCTTTGTCATTTACATATAAATGATTTAAACGAGATGGAGGTGGTGTATGAGATGCTATTTATATATAGTTTTTTTTTTTTTAAATGAAATGATTATTCGAAAATAGATTATACTTACGATTATTTCGTCGTGTATGTGGAGATAATGGTACTGTCATTTGATTATTATTATTATTATTCGTCGTAGCTCCAAAATCAGTTGAGATCGACGAAGATACAGATTTTGATCTCACAGATTCAGTATTGGGTGGAGTTGGAAGAACTTCATAAAAAGAAACAAAAAAATGATCAACTTTATACTAGTGATTTTTCTTTTACCTGTATCTGACAAACGATGTTGAGAAGTTGTGGGTGTCGTTGGTATTTCTGTATGCCAATAAAAACGCCCATTATCATTTGTACCGCCATTAGAAAAATAATCTATGTAAAATAAACAATCACAAAACTTTAAAGAAGAAATTATAAATAAGTAAGTCAAATACCAATGCAACCTTTAAGTGCAGTAAGTGCACTACAAAAATCTTTTCGTTCAGTATCTGTTGTTCCAGCGTCATATAAAATTTGTTCGTATGCTGGCGTTTTGTTATTTAATAGATCATCAAATGTAATTCGTTGTACAATATACTATAGAAAATAATTATGCGATTGATTAAAAGAAAAGAAATAATTTACTTCAATAGACTTTTTATTGAGATTAATAACAGATAAAAAACGATCAAGTTTAGAATATTCAGTGTGAAAACCACCATTTTGTCCATTGTTTCTTTGCATTTGTAATAACGTCAATTGACGAGCGAAAAATCCAATAACACGACTCTAGATTAGACAACAACAAAAAAATAGAAATTATATAACTTTAATATGTTAAAACAAAATCTTACTTCATTATTACGCATTAATTCATATTTAAGTGAAAGATCACACATTGTTTCACTACTGAATATTGTCAATTGATCAATAGCATGAGTCAGAGCATCGTCAAGATAACGTAAATCTTGAGATACTGCCCGACTATATTCTAAAGTCGTTGTTGGAGTGGAAGGTAAAGGTGATACATCATTGGCATTTTCATTGCCAGATGTCACATCTGAACTCATTATTTGTTCTAGATGAAAGCGAAAAAATAACTCACATCAAAACAAAGGTAAGAAAATCATTCGGGAAATAGGGACGACAAAATGATAAGTAACAAACATAAACATCAGATACATTGTAATCAACAACATGAAAATGATTGAATGATGAAAAGAACTAATCGGAATTTTCTTTTTTTTTTATGAGGCATTTATTAGCGCACTCTATTCATTAATATACATGTCAAAATATGACATTTGAATTGAAATATTAAAATTTTAGCTGTCAATTTCTATGAAAATCTTTATATTTACGTTTACATAGTCATACTGATATCTGAGAGTATTGAAAATTTAGTTTTTGAAACTTTGTTCAAATTTTATATTTCAGATTAGAGCTTCAACCAAGGGTGACCTCTCAAGTTTTCGTTCTTTCAATCGGTCTTCTGAGTCATTGATCTTCCCTCTAAAACTTGACGACTGCATAGGACATTTCTAACCTCAATCACGTCATTAAACGTGTTTATGACAAGGAGGTTAATTTAGAACGACAGATCACCTGATATGTGTACTTTTTGGTCGTTGACGTCAAGGTTATATCTCATAAATTGGATATATATCTGGTAGGTAGATGCAGGGGAGTTAATTTCAAAAATGATAAAAAATAGAACAATATTTTAGAATAAATATTGAATATACTTAGATGTAATTTGGAGATGTTATTAACACAGATTTCCATGTTCATCATAATTTGCTCGTCGTCTATTTTCAATCTGAATTAATTTAGTTTAAGTTGAATGGTGCTTTTTTTCTGCTGCAGATCGAGTAATTATTGAACTTTGTTTCTCTTTTTTTTATCTTAAAACTGTGAATAACAATATTTTTTTGTTAGATTCATTTAAAATATCCTTGAATAAAAAACCAGATATTTCTTCTTCATTTTTCTGTCTTTTTTTATTTCCTTTCAGTTTTTGTTCTACATATCACTAATGTGCAATTCATAAATATTTAATCTATATTAAAAACTTCCATTGTTAAATCTTCATCGAGCATATATTTGTTTGAAATCGACGACGTCTTACTGGGTACTTTATTAGACTGAACTTTGAGCACTTCTTTCGGTTGTTATTCATTAGAAAAATCTGCTTTAAATAAATATTTCTTTGTAATATTCTACTTCTATTCGTAAATGCTTACTTAAACATGTAAGAATAAAATACTTGAGTATAGTGAAGAGTTTTGAATATTATCTTGAATGTTTACATTAAAGAATTTTTATTGTATTCATCTTAAACTAATTCCACTGACTTGTTGAACTTATTTTGAAGATAAAGACGTAATTCTCTTCTATTTTTTATTCATGAAATTGACTTGAAAAAAAAAACAATTACATAGACCGAAGAAATACGAGGAGAAGCACAAACATGACAGAAAAGTTAGGATTTTAAGATGTTTACTTCAGATTGTTCAGAATAAATGATATATGTTGTGTGGTTAATTTACATACCCAGTGCATGACTTTTTCTGCAAGACAATATGATGTTAATGAACTAAACTCAATACGGAAAGCATTAGACTATTACGGATTGTTTCATAAGTTTTAAATTTCGACGATAATTAATTTATATACAAACACGGAATGCAATCTGTAACAGAATGTATTTATACGAGGTTTACGTATCCTGTTGTAAGAATAATAATGTGTTCAAGTTTTTCGAGATCAATTACCGATGTTTGTTTTTTTTTATGAAAAACAATGAACTCATTTGCGATTGAAATGTATAGTAGGAATTGTCGTGAACATTTATTTGAAACTTTTGATCAGATAATCAATCAAACGATTTCTTGAACAAATACTTCAATTGAACTTAAAGTACATGAGCACATTCTATATTCAATTTACAAACAGTTTTCATATATCTTTTTTTTCGTTTTAAACTGTAGCTAATGAATAAATTACCTATCGAAACTATAGAAGAAAAAAATACGAGAAAGACAATTTTGAAGTTTGATTTAGTTAAAAACTAGGTAAAACAAAGAATAAAAATAAACAATTAGCGATAATCGTGAAAGGATAATTTATAAACAGTTTTTGAAAGATTTGACGAAGTAATAATAAGTATTAGAGAACAAATATATAATAGTTAACTGACATTTTTTTTTTGTATAATTAACTTACTATTTGAATCAGTCAAATATAGTTTTTATAAAAAAAGTTGTAAGATCGATTTGGAAAAATTAAACATGATTATTCTTACTAGAGACGATACCATTTAATATTTAAAACGTTGACACGAGTACTCAAACATCATATAGATACATTCAGTTAGACATTACATTCTCTATCTGCATATAAATATATTTCCATCGAGGTTCAGAACTTGTGAAACATCTACTATTATTTAGTCATGATATTTAAGTACTGACTTATTATAACAACTACTTACTAAGATACTTCGATGAAGATGTTCAAAAAATGTATTGTCTCTATAGTTCTCATTAATCAACAAGTGTTTATATATATATATATAAGTAATTTGTTTTTGTTTGATATTCAAAAAATAACATATTCATATTAGAAGTGTTCAGAGTTCATAATCTTTGATCTAAAAGCTAAAAGAAGCTATTTCGTACTTTCTAACTCTCGCATCATATTTGTTTGTATTTTTCTTCGCATAGTGCATAATTTTATCCGAATTAATTGAACAGCTAATATTTTAGTAATGAAAGCAAGTGAATTCAGATATAATAGAAACAATAATATTTGTCATACTATTTTTTCTATGAACACTTGATATTAAATATTTTTCTCGTCAACATTACAAATCTATTATGATAAGAAATAAAAAAAATGAAATCAAAACTAGAATGATAATAATGCTTTACTATTTAATATTGTTATACAAAAGAACAGATCTGCAATAATTTCATCAACATTTTATAATGTACAATATGTATGTAATATAGAAGAATTTCAATAGTCTATGATTTTCCTAGGTAAAAAAAAAAACAAAACTGATTTCATTCGAATACACTTTAGAACCTATTGTTCTTTAAACTACATTATTACATAAAAAATGGAAAGAACAAAACATGCTATTACAGTCTTTCCTAACATGATGTGACACATGATGAATCTACATCTATACACATTTATACTACGAAATAGAACGATAGCAGAAATATGAAACCATGATCTGATAATTGATAAGCATTAAAAATTTGTTTCTCCTTTTTGAACTCATTCAGTATTGTTTGTTGGCTTGAGACAGAAATAAGATATTATATTTACTTAACAAAAATCTATCATCAGCATATAAATTCATTATCGATTATCAATAATATAGCAAAGTCACTTTGTACAATCGAAAAAAAAATAGTATTATCGTGATTTGATTGTCAATAACTTCTCAATTTGTATCACGATTCTCGATTTTGATGGGAGACTTCCTTCTCCTCGCCTAAAATGAGCAACTCTCCTGTCAATTTTTTACCGCTTTATGATAACTTTGGATAGAAACTAAATTTTGAAACACCATTTGCTTTTCTTTGGCGGAAAATGAGACTAGCAGATCACTTGTTATGGAAGGGACCGGGTCGCAATGACTTTCATCTTCTCCTGCTTGATCACCATGTGGCACCGTAGAAATAAAAGCACTTCCTGCCAGATTTTTAGCCTCTCCCATTCCAAAAAAATATCGATAACTCTGTTCTGTATCGTTCTTGATCATCAACTAATCAATGCAATTTCTCAAATAAACTTATATAGACAAAATGGTATCAAGAAACAAGTCAATAGACAGTTTTAAACTTTTTTGAAAATAGATTTTTAAATAGCACATATTCATAGCTTTCATTTAGTTCTGCTTAGGATGAAGAAGAGTTAAGGTAGAAAATCTCCTAAAGCTACCAAGAAACTTTTAATAGTCTCGTTATTAATCGTGAACACAGTTTTCTTTCGTTATTATTTCTCGTATTAGTAAACTCGTAAAGAAATGGCTGATTAATGAAAACAATGATATTTTTTATTAACAGGTGGCGTATAATAAATGGCGCAAAATGTTTTCCTGCTTTTTTGGCACTTCTCAACACATTAGAGACTCGATAGAGAATGTTCTACAGTAAAAAACTACTGTCTTTGTTTTTCAAATAATTTCTTTCTTGTCGGTGGAAAATTTAAAAGATGAATACTTACCTCAAAATTCTCCATGAAAATTTTATTTCTTTGGATATATGTTTCGGAATTTTAGAAAAATCCTAATGTTTCTACTTTTCAATTTAATAATCATAACATCTTTTTTTCAGAATTAAATTGTACACCCGACGATATGAATACAAATGCATCATGAGCCAAGTCTTACTTTGAAAAATAGCAGCAGAAACCTTGAAAACGTTATAGAAGTAGAGAGCACGAAATTCTCTATCCATTGATGATAAATGCTTTACTTTTGGTATTGCTCTTGATGAGTAAAGGCTTACTAGATGTCTGTAGAAAATCGGATATCTCACTTAGATGATCGATTAGATCTTCATCTTTTAAATTAAGCATTAACAGAAAAATAAAACGTCATTTAAAAAAGTAAAGAGAATAGTTTTGTAGAGCGAAAATTCTCTATCGAATGAACCTAGAACAAAGCTTCTAATATGTTGAAGTGTGTCCTAAAAAGAAGAAAACATTTTGTCTCGTTTATTATGCGCCATCCATTATACACAAAAACTATCATCTTCAATAGTTTTGAAAAGTTATGTTCTTTCTATTGATTGTGTGATATTTTTATTTATTGTAGATGTGAATGTTCTTCATCTCTACATCCACATTCTCCACTATTAGCGAAGTGATGAAAGTTTTTAAAGTATCATATTCGAAAAAAAAGTATACTATATCAAGTACTTGAAGTTGTTGTCCAAATATTGAGCTGTATTTTGCACATAGTAATCTGCAATATCTATTAAATAAGTTTTAGACGTGTTGATGGTCTAACCATACATTTGACATTTATGTTATCTTCTGTCTTTTTAATACA